AGGAGTATGCAATGAGGGTTGCAGAGTGGATTATATTTGTGGGTAGGGGGTGGGGTTTGGGGAGGTGCGGGGGGGATTGTGTACCAATGAGGGAGTTTTGCTTTTCAAGGAGAGGAGCAAAGGGGGGGAGGGGTTTGTGCGGGGAGAAAGGTGCAACAATGAATGAATGGAATTCCAAAATCTCTGTAGGTGTTCACTGAAATGAAAAATAAACAACCTAAATTAAAAAAAAAATAGTAAATGTTTTTGAATGTTTCTCATTTCCATCAAATATTTGAGCAATTTTCTTACTTCTAACTTGATCATATGTAACTCAAGGAAAATGTGACAAATTTTTGATCCATTGTCTCTTTTTTAGATTAGGATAAAAAAGTGGATTTATCAATCATGTCACTCTCCTCGGATCATATTTAACCTTAAATATTCCCCATCCACAAAATAGATTTTAATGTGGTGGGGTTAGTTCCATTGCCTTACATAGTTGTATACATTTAACTTGGAATATTTTGTGGGTGTGGCAGAATTGGGAAGATTAGAAAATAACTTGTAACTCATGTCAATAAAAATATAACTTAAGTTTTAAAAGAAAAAATGCATATCGGTTAGGTTTATGAAGAGCTGACTGATTTTTAATAATTAATAAGTTTTTTCTGCCAATGAGAATTAGATTACTGCTGACTTTTTAGTGTTATAGTACCTCGTGGTAGTTTCTCTACAGTGTTTAAAGGTGTACACTCAATTTTGTATTTTCCTTCTGGTCTCCTAAAGGATTTAGGAGATTTGTAAATGCTATAAGGAAAATACATTGAGAAATTAATATATACCATGAATATATTATAAGGATAGGTCAGTTCCATTGTCTTCTTTTGTCAATCTTGATCGGAGCTTGCCGAGTAAGTCTATAAGCCTGCATGTGCCTGGCAACTGTTACCTAGTGACAGTTTCAGCTGCAGTAGCCATTGGCTGTGCTGTTGATTGGGGCAGGAGGACCGAGTCACCTTTCTGATGGTGAGTTCTTCTGCATCAGTCAGGATGAGGAGGAGGAGGAGCAGGGCTTGGGCTCAGGTGGGAACCAGTGATACAGACAGATTGTGAAGAATACACCGATGGCATCTGGTAACTGCATCACAGTAAATCGGACTTCTGAATCAAGCAGCCCAGCCTAGCAGCTGATAAGAGTGAATGTAGGTGAGAAGCATTGCCTTATTCTTGTAACAAGAGAACTATTTTGTTCTAAGTGAAACTGGAATGTACAAGGAGAAAGATCCTGTGGATATTGTAAAAGAAAAGGACTTCTCTGAATGACTTGATGGTGCACAAGAGAAATAACTTTCAGAAGAATGCTTTCTATTAAGCTGCTTTATTGTTCCTGAAGGAAATGCTTTTCTTTCTAGTGCATGTTATTTCTTCAAAAGGTATAGCAGTGAAGACTGACAAAAGAATCTTTGAAATGCCTGTACTTAAAAAAAAATCCAAAAAACCAAAAGACGACTTTTGGCAAATGCTAACCTGCTATGACCTTGGAAGCCTTTTTGATGGATTACTTCATTCTGTACTGCCAGCTTTTCAGTATGCCAAACTCTTAGGATTTAAACTCATCTTGATGCTTTAGAGATATTTTAAAGCAAGACCATTTTGTAACCTGCCCAGTGGTCCCTGCATTAATTAAGCAATTGCTCAAAATAGAAAGAAGAAATATTTTCTTAACATATGGCTGCTACATAACTGCAAACATAACGAACAAGGTAATTTTCCACTTTCAGAAGATGTAGTTAAAAATAATGATTTACAGTGTTAATCATCTAATTAAGTTAGATAACATTGAATAGGAAGCCTCATAGAAATGCCTAAATCATAAATAATGAAGGCGTTTCTAGTCAAATAAACTCAGACTGAACAGGAAACTTTTTATTGTTACTTAAATTTAATATATTAATATACATTCCATGTATAGGTGCGGTTGCAAAGGGGAAAAATAGCTTTGAGCTGTACATTTTATCATCCTCCATTTTAGGGAAAGTTGTATATGAGTTAAAGTTTTTTCTAGTTACTGAAACAGAAATGAGTAACAGAAAGAATTTATATTCTTTTTGAAAGAAGAGGCATAAATTACATTGATGCTAGTAGCTTCAGTAACTGTAACAGACCAAAATAGTTTTAATCTAAAAGCTTGGGGGGGGGGGATACACATGTAGACTTGAAATTTTAGAAGTTAATCCTGTTTTGAGGAATATTAACCATAGTATATTAAATTCCTTACCTGGAAAATCTCTTGTAGGTCTTTTTCCTCTCATGAAAGTTACAGCACAATCTGAGACTGTTTATTACCCATTTCCTATTACTTTGTGTCCCTTCAGAAAAGAATCTTTTTAGAAAAACTTGATAGAGCGTCTTTCTTTTTTTTTTTTTTTAGATTTCATACAATCTATATTCTCAGATAGACATTTCTCTCTCACTGTATTTGCTAGCGTCTTTCTTAACTCTTAGAAAAATAGAAGGTAAAATAGATTATAAAGATGACCTATTAGAATTAAACCTTGAATTGAACCCAGAAATACTTTTTGTCACAGTAAACATTTTCAGTTTTCTAACTAAATCTGAAATCTTTCTTTTTTTAAATTATAAAATATGAACCCATTTTTTGTTACTGACAAAACAGGAAAACTGAGCTTAAAATTTTTCTCAATTATTTCTGGTTGACCCTTCCCTTTTTGGGGAGGACAAACAGCCCACAGAAGCATTTCCTCCCTTCTTAATATGTATTTATTTTCCACCTTTTTTGTAGATATAATTTTTGCACTAAAAAATAATAAGAAATCCATTCTCTCTAGAAGTATCTTATCTCTGCAAAAAAGTACTTTGCAAGTACAGGGGGAAGCTAATCAGTGACCTTTTCTCACCTCCTTTCTAGCTTATCCCCCTCCTTTTCCCCTCAAAGCTGAGGTGTGTCACTGCTGCACTGAGGCTGATGAAGAGACTTGAGCAGCTCTCTGGGATGCTCAGCTGTGACAGGAGCACTGGCACTGTCTACAGAGGCAGATTCTGAGACACTCGTGTGCAGAGTTTAACAGATACTGGGCCAGACACCTGCTTGCTATATCCAAAGCTGCAGGTTTCCTTTATCCTAAACCATGAACGAATCCCGGTGGATTGAACAGAGGATCCTGAACATGAGCAGTGGCTTCGTGAATGTATCTGAACATCACTCATGCCCACTTGGATTTGGCCAATACAGTGCAGTGGATGTGTGCATCTTTGAGACAGTGGTTATTCTCTTGCTAACTTTTCTCATCATTGCTGGGAATTTAACAGTCATCTTTGTCTTTCATTGCGCTCCACTTTTACACCATTATACTACCAGCTATTTTATTCAGACAATGGCATATGCTGATCTTTTTGTTGGAGTAAGCTGCCTGGTTCCTACTCTCTCACTTCTCCACTACTCCACAGGTGTCCACGAGTCGTTGACTTGCCAGATTTTTGGATATATCATCTCAGTTCTAAAAAGTGTTTCTATGGCATGTCTGGCTTGCATCAGTGTGGATCGCTACCTTGCAATAACCAAGCCTCTTTCCTACAATCAACTGGTCACTCCTTGCCGCCTGAGAATTTGCATTGTTATGATCTGGATCTACTCTTGTCTCATTTTCTTGCCTTCATTTTTTGGCTGGGGGAAACCTGGTTACCACGGTGACATTTTTGAATGGTGTGCCACCTCTTGGCTCACTAGTGCCTATTTTACTGGCTTTATTGTTTGTTTACTTTATGCGCCTGCTGCCTTTGTTGTCTGTTTCACTTACTTCCACATTTTCAAAATTTGCCGGCAGCACACCAAAGAAATAAATGACAGAAGGGCTCGATTCCCAAGCCATGAAGTGGATGCCTCTGGAGAGACAGGACACAGCCCTGACCGTCGCTATGCCATGGTTTTATTTCGGATAACCAGTGTGTTTTACATTCTGTGGCTCCCCTATATCATTTACTTTCTTCTGGAAAGTTCCCGGGTCTTGGACAACCCGACTCTGTCCTTCCTCACAACCTGGCTCGCTATAAGTAACAGTTTCTGTAACTGTGTAATTTATAGCCTCTCCAATAGCGTTTTCCGGCTGGGCCTCCGAAGACTGTCTGAGACAATGTGCACATCTTGCCTGTGTGTGAAGGATCAGGATGCACGAGATCCCAAACCTAGGAAACGGGCTAATTCCTGCTCCATTTAAAAAGAACTCAGTGAATCAAATGTAATCTGACAGTGGTTTTGAATCGTATTCTTGATTTTATCTGGAACTTGGCCACCAGAGAAATACTTACTTGAATAATTGACTATGAAATGAAGGATGAGACTAAAGGTTTCTTCTCCCTTCCCCCCCCCTTTTTTCATGGAAAAAACAACTAAAGGCAAGGATGTAGAGGTTAATCTTGTGAGGTAATTATAGCATATGAATATAGATGTGCAATAAGAGGAAAAATTAAGCACTGAGGAGAAAAAGTGTTTCAGATATTCCCCAGGATGTGAAGTAATTTATACACCACAGCAAGCCTCTGTGTCTCTCTGTCTCTGAGTGAACTTTCTTGGGCTCTGTCTTTGTGACTTTTTCTGTTTGTCTCTGTCTCTCTTTGTACTTTTGGAAGCTATTACTTATATTCCTTGTGCTTCTAGAAAAATGCTGCGTATTATATATGTGGCAAAGTACAGCCTTTTGCATCAAAGTGTACTCTTAAGCACTTCAATCAACTATCTCTAGATGGTTTCATCCGGGAAAGAAACCTAAGTATCAATTTTATTTTTGCTCTGTGCCCCCTTTTCTTCTGTTTTTATAATATTCTCTGCAGCACAAATTTTCTGCTCCCCAAAATACACGTTTGTTTTTTTTCTTTTTTTCTGGGTTAAATGACATGTCTTTCCCCTCTCTCCTTAATAGCCTGCTATTCCCCCGCTCCCCAGATCTTTTGAATCCCTTGGTATCTGAATCAAAAAGTGTCTTAGTTAATAATGGAGAAATGAACTGTATAAAGCAATCATATTTTTAAATAATTTATTCCTTCCAGTAAAGCAATCTGGTAGCTTATTTTGAAGATTATGTTAAACATTTTTTAATGGCCTTTAAAAAACATTCTTTTTCGTTTATTTTAAAATTAGTTTCATGTGCCTAAAGTGGTGTCTTTTGCTGCAGTAAGGCTTTTTTAATAGCTTGATTTGTTAGGGTTTTGTTGTTGTTGTTGTTGTTTTTTTACTTAAGAAAACCCAAAAATAATTCTGTTGCAAATGAATGGTACTCAGCCAGCAGTAAAATAACACTCAATGCTGCTTATAATGTCTTCCTCCCCCCTTTCCCCTTTTTAAAGTAAACGATTAACCATTTTGTGTTTGGTCCACAATAGCTTACTATCGTGTCTGCCAGTCATTTGTGTTTGCATATACTATATTTTTTTACAACAAAGAAATTGTAAATTATATTATGTGATATGTGCCTGGTGTTTTCTTAGCATAATGATTAGGTCAATGTTATTTAAGGTGTCAAATTGGAAATACGTATATAAAAACTCTTTTAAGAGAAAAGTACTTTATGTAGTTATTTAGATATTTATACTAAACCAAGCAGCATTCTTAATGCTGCTGAGAATACAGTGTACTTAATTATCAGATGCAGGTAAGAGCTGTGAGTATTTTCTTTTGTAGTAATCTGTTTTCAGATTCAGAGGTTGGATGAATTTATTTTTTTTTAGTGGGCTACATGGGTTAGTGGAATGAATTGTCAGGAGTTTAGATGCAACAAACTGGGCATTTGGGAAATTGGTTATACAGCAGGAATGAGTAGCAAAAACATCTAAATTTTACTTTTTTAATCCTGAATTTCCTGACTGCAAGAGATTTTAAAATTTGTATCAGACTACTGAGTATTTTTCTTCTCAGCATTTTTGATTTCTTGATTTTATGAAATGCGAGTAATGAAATGTGCCTATGACTCTTCACATAGCAAGTCAACCATGTTTGTGTTCTGATGGTTTGACTTCAGAGAATCTTTAATAGAAATGTTACTGTTTTATTGAGGTTGTTCTGAATGCCTGTATATTTTTAAACATGTAAGAAAGGTTTAAAATAAAGAATAAAATAGTATTCTATATATATAAAAAAATCAGACTTTGCTTTGGTTTAATAAAAGGCTTACTTAGAATGTAAGTTTAATTGTTTGAGAGTCAAAGCTTAATTGTTTTCCATTTCTGTGGTCTCAGTTGTTTATATTTATTCTTGCCCCCTGATTACCACTAGCACTTTGCATTAGTTGAAGTTCTTCTTTTAAGTTTGCACTAGTTCAAGGAAGAATAGTAATGCTAACTTTTCATTTGTCATAAATAGAACTTTCCACACTATACCTATCATTTGAGAATCAGATTTGGGTTCCTCTAGTGTGGAGTATAAATATAGTTGAAATTGACCCGTTAGATCCTCTGCATAAAAATCCTGAGATTATGCCTATTGCATTTTCCTCTTTTGGTTTTTTATGCAATAAATAATATGATTATGTGCTAAAACTCTGTATTACATGTTACAGACACAAATATATTACTTTTTTATTAGCAGTCCTGATGGTTCTGTGGACTAGTATTAAGCTAGTAAATAAAAGGTCAGAGTTGGAAACCACTTGGTACTGCACAGGAGAAAGACTTGAGTCAGCCTGTAATTTACAGGTTGGAAATACTAAACAGCAGTTTTGCACTGCCCTAGAGGGTCATTCAAAGAGGGAGCTACGTTGGCCTAGTGGAAAGGAAGCTGTGCTACCAAGCCGAAGGTGGGTGATTTTCATCTGTGGCCCTCGGCCAGTTTCAAATTGTTTTCCTGTCAAACATTCTTCTAGGTGGTATAGCACTGGTCTGTGCGTTGCTGTACAGAGGTAACTCGTAGTTGCTGTGATGCTGAAGACTGTAACAGTGATGTGCCAGTCATGGTAATGGGTACCCATGGTGGACAGTGCTGGCTGGAGCTTCCCGACTAAATCAAGCCTGGAAGCAGGAGCAGCATCCACTTCCGAAATGGCTTGCCTCCGGAAACTCTATGTACGAACAGTGCTCAGGCCGTTCGTTCATAGGGTCGCTATGAGTCGTCTACGACTTGACGGCATCAAACAACAACAACAGAGGGTCATTATCAGTTACATTATTATTTGGAATCATCTTGTTGATAGTGGATATTATTTTTTAATCCTTACTATTTTAAAAACCCATTAATGGACGTTACTGTTGTTATTGCCATGTTGGAGATGAGGAAACTACAGAAGAGTGATTTCTTTAATGTCACTTACCAAGTAAATAGTAATGCTTCATTTACCCTGTGTGTCTGGAGTGAGTCTAAGCTAGACTGACATTGTTTCCAAAACCATCCAATTCTTTTACCTTTTCCTGTATTCTTTCTCTATATTATTTCTCAGAGTGCGATTTTTTCCTTCCTCCTGCTACATTTTTAAAAACTCTTTAACTTGTATTGTGTTGTCTTTTCCTCGATCTTTCAAGTTTGGTTAAAACAGTACTCTGAGACACAAACCTTATCAAGTTTAGTGTACAGTTGTTCTAAACCTTCACTAACTGTCATGGAGTTGATGTGGCTCACAGTGATCCCCAAGGAGTTTCTGAGGCTGTACTTTTTATTAGGGGACTGCCCACTTTTGTCTCATGTATATTAAACTACCAGCAGCTGCCAGGTTTTGGTTAGCAGCACATCACACCAGGGACTGCCCTGCCTGAGCTCCTTACTAAAACCTGAGATACAGCATTTTCTTGACATAACCTTTATTCATTTTTGTTACATTTTTATTAAATATTTCTTTCAAGTAATATGCATTTCTCACTGAAAAAAAATATTTTGATGGGGAGTGTCAAGAGGAAATAATTTTCTCACAGAGGACCCTAGGAGAGGCAAGTTGTAAGCTTAAATTCTGCATTTATTATAATATTTTATGTGCAACACTAAGGCAAGGCACTTAATTTCCTTTTAACATATGTAAATATGTATTTGGACAATAAGATAATACTTATTTGGAAATTATTTTTAGATAATGTGTTTCAAGAATAGAAAGTATATATCTTATTCTCATTATTGTATTGTCTGGTAATTATTCAATTTTTATATAAATGATATTGACAAAGTGATGCAGAGTTGTTGGAAAGCTTTGTTATTTACTAGACTGAAATCATGTTCTTCATAAGCAGCTTGATATCCCAAACCTCAATTTCTTCAGCTGAGAAAACCCAGAGTCTAGTACATTTTTTTAGGCTGGCATTGAGGATTCAGTGAAATACAGATAATACTCAAGAGACAGTGTGGATTTGTTCCAGACCATTGCAATAAAATTATAAGCACAGTAGAGTAAATCACACAAAGTGTTGTTCAGTACATATAAAATTTAAATTTGCACTACACCATAGAAAAATTGATGCCTTTGAGCTGTGGTGTTGGAGAAAAGCTTTGAACATTGAACATCCCATGGTTGGCCAAAAGAACAAACAAGTATGTCTCGTACTGGGTGCAGCTGGAGTGCTCTTTAGAGGCAAGAACTATTCACATACTTTTGGCATGATGCTAGAAAGGGGCTATTCCTTGGAGAGGGACATGATGCTAGGAAGGGTGAAGAGTCAGCGAAGGAGAGGAAGACCCTCAACCAGGAGGATTGTTGTGGTGGCTGCTGCAGTGGACTCTTGTGTGTCAGGAAATGTGAGGATGGCACAGGATCGAACAGGGTTCAGATATTTTGTTTGTAGTGTCACAATGATGTGTACTCGACTCATTAGCACCTAACAACAACAACTATGCTGTACACTATTAGGTGTCTTATGAAAAAGTTTGAAATGCTGCAAGAGTTTTCTATATGTTACACTGAGTTTTGAAAAGGGCACATGCTGTTGGAAAAATGGTGCTAGTAGAATTGATCTGTGCAGAGTTGCGACAATCCTTTATTTTTTTAAATTTTATGTTTTTTATTCAGTATGTGTGAAGTGCAGCAAAGGAAAGGGCAATAAAGCAAGGTATTCCTGTAATGTAGTTTACTTGACTCACGTATCCTGGCACATAGAAAGTGTTCAGAATGTTGTATCTGTTGTCTACGACCATTCCACCCTGAACACTCCCAATCTTCGTCTGATCTCAGAAGCTAAGCAGGGTCACGCCTAGTTAGTAGTTAGATGGGAGAATGTGGGATCTGCTATTGGATTATCTTGGTGACTGATGTATATATCATTGTCATCAAAACTTAAAGATTGTTAATTCCACTTTAATCACGAAGTAAACTTACTGTGATGACGCCTAACAACAATAGCAACAAACTCACTGTTGTGAAGTTGGTTCCTACTTATCAGATTTTCAGACTGTAAATTTTTATGGGTGGAGACTGCCTCATATTTCTTCACAATAGCTGGTGGATTCCAGCTACTGACCATTAGGTTGGCAGTGGTTCTCCCTTAGTTGCAGAGTTTTTGGGTTTTTTTTTTTTAGTATTTTGTTTTGTTTTTTAATGTAAG